CAGGCGCGCGCCTGTAGTTCCAGCTACCCGGAAGGCTGAGGCGGAAGGATCGCCGGAGCCCAGCAGGTCGAGGCTGCAGAGGCCGGGAGCGGCCACTGCACTCCAGTGTGGGTGACAGAGTGAGACTCCAACTCAAAAAAATAATAAATAATAAATAAATAAATAAAAAGAAAAACACAAACAACTAGCTTCAATCATGTGCCTCTCTGACCAATCTGCTCATTTATTTTGGGAAATTTTAAATCGGCATAAAGCTGAGAGAATGATACAAAGAACCCTCCTGCATATGTCATCCCCACTCCAGCAATTATCAAGATTCCTCTATTCTTATTTCACCTACTCCCTAGCTTTGTGACATTTAAAGAACCAATCTTTCACTGTTGATATCACCATTAGATCTAATCAAGTACTATCTTCTATCTTCACTAAAATGACTTTGCTGCTCCCGAAATAGAGACTTCGTCTATTTTGTTCACTGCTATAACTTCACATCCTAGAACAGACCCAGGCACATAGCAGATTACTAATGATTATTTGTTGGTTGCATGAATAAAAGCAACCTTTAATGTGTTCTGCTGTTTGTTGAAACCCTCTGCTTTATTTCTGCTCAATGCTTTAGCTAGAAGTCTGGTTATTAGGAGCTTCCTTGGTCTATTATTGTTCAACACTAGTGATCCCAACGACTTCCAAAAGACAAGAGCAAGAGAGTGGTTCTGATTATGGCCACATTTTTCATTCACATCAAAAGCAACTGGGTTTGGCACCGCACAAAGACCAGGCAGGCAACCAAGGGAGGTATGAGGAACAATTGCTAGACACTAGGAGTCATTGGACAATACAGTGGTTCACAATTCAGTAGTTCACAAAAGCCACGTCTGGACTGGTGCTGGTCTATGGTAATGCTTTGACTGGTCCAAGCAAAGTGGGAAAAACACAGATGAAATAGTATTTCACTAAGTAAATGTATTCAATAGAAAGTTCTGCCTATTCTAGGTTTATGCTCTTTCTTTTGTGTGTATGTGCTAAAATGTTCTTTATTTTATGAAATGATGGTGATGAGAGAGAGATATATTTTGTGGTTTATTTATTTTTATTTATTTTATTTTATTTTTTTGAGATAGGGATTCACTCTGTTACCCAGGCTGGAGTGCTGTGGCACAGTCATGGCTCACTGCAGTCTTGACTTCCTGGACTCAGGTGATGCTTCCGCCTCAGCCTCCCAAGTAATGGAACTACAAGCACATGCCACCACACCCGGCTAATTTTTAAAATTTTTTTTGTTGCATAGTCTGGTCTCGAATTCCTGGGCACAAGCAATGCTCCCACCAGACTCCCAAAGTGCTGGGATTACAGGCATGAAGCACCACCCCAGTCTATTTTTATGATTTAAAAAATTTTCCTTACTTAGCAAATTAAGTATCCCAAATTTGTTTTCAAGTTTTTAAAACTAGAAATCTATAAATTTTATAACTACTGAACTAGACCAATCAGAAACACTATTGTGAGTGACAACATTCTTTGTACCAGGTATTTTGTATAACAGACTGCTAACCCTCGCAGTCTTGCAACGCAGATAGTATTAGCCTCATTTTATGAGAAAAGAAAACGGGGACACAGAAAACCTGAGGTGCTCTGTTAATAAGTGACAAAGTAAGCTGGGCTTGGTGGCTCAGCCTGTAATCCCAGCGCTTTGGGAGGCTGAGGTGAGTGTATTGCCTGAGCCCGCGGGTTCGAGACCCACCCAGGCAACTTGGCGAGACCTCATCTCTACAATAAATCAAAAAATTAGCCAGGCATGGTAGTGTGCGCCTGTAGTTCCAGCTACTTGGAAGGCTTGAGGCGGAAGGATCGCCGGAGCCCAGCAGGTCGAGGCTGTGGTGGCCGGGAGCAGCCACTGCACTCCAGTCTGGGCGACTGAGTGAGACTCCAACTCAAAAATAAATAAATAAGTGACAAAGTAGAGGTTTGAAACCCAGGTCTGCATGGCTCCAAAGCCTGTACTATTTGTCGCCTTACTACTGGAGTTCTTAAAATACTGTCGCCAGACCAGTAGCATTTAGCATCACCTGAGAACTTGGGCACTCATTAGAAATGCAAGAATTGGCCAGGCTCAGTGGTTCACGCCTGTAATCCCAGCACTTTGGGAGGCAGAGTGGAGAAGATTGCCTGGATCAGGGGTTCGAGACCAGACTGGGCAACTTGGCGAGATTTCATCTCTACAATAAATCAAAAAAATTAGCCAGGTATCGTGGCACATGCCTATGGTTTCAACTACTTGGAAGGCAGAGGCAGAAGGTTAATCTGAGCCCAGCAGGTCGAAACTGTGGTGGCCATGAGCATGCCACTGCACTTCAGCCCGGGTGACAGAGTGAGACTCCTACTCAAAAAGAAAAAAAAAAGAATGCAAGAATTGGCCATACATGTGGCTCATACCTGTAATCCTAGCACCTAGGGAGGCCGAGTTGAAAGAATTGCTTGAGCCCAGGAGTTCGAGACCAACATGTCATGAGGAACATGGTAAAATCTCATCTCTGCAAAATGTCAAAAAATTACCCAGGCATGGTGGCATGCACCTGTAGTCCCAAACTACTCTGGAGGATGAGGCGGGATGGTGCCAGCCTGGCAACAGAGTGAGATCCCCCCCTACTCAAAAAAACAAACAAAAAGCCGGGTGCAGTAGCTCACACCTATATTGCCAGCACTTTGTGAAGCTGAGGTGAGAAAACTGCCTGAGCACAAGGGTTCGAGACCAGCCTGAGCAACTTGGTGAGACCTCATGTCTACAATACATCAAAAAATTAGCCGGGCATGGTGGCACATGTCTGTAGTTCCAACTACTTGAAAGACTGAGGCGGAAGGATTGCCTGAGCCTGGTAGGTCGAGGCTGTGATGGCCGTGAGCGTGCCACTATACTCCAGCCTGGGTGACAGAGTGAGACTCCAACAAAATTAAAAAAAAAAACAGAAACAAAAACAAAAAAAAAAACCACAAAAAAGTAAGAATTTGCAAATTATTGTGCCACATCCCTGAGGGGGCGTGGGAGTAGGGGTGGCGGGTGGTGTCAAAATCTGCTTCCTACCAAGACTGCCACATGATTCTGATACGTGCTAAAACTTGAGAACCACTGCTATGCTGCTGAATGGAAGATGATGAAAGTATGTGTGGAGGGGGGGCAGTGGTGGGGGAGATAACCCACAACCTTGAATTTTTTTTTTTTTCTGAGTTGGAGTCTCACTCGGCTGCCCAGACTGGAGTGCAGTGGCCGCTCCTGGCCACCGCAGCCTCGACCTGCTGGGCTCCGGCGATCCTTCCGCCTCAGCCTTCCGAGTAGCCGGAATTACAGGCATGCGCTACCACGCCCGGCTGATTTTTTTGACTTATTGTAGAGATGAGGTCTCGTTGCCCAGGCGGGTCTCGAACCCGCGGGCTCAGGCAATCCACTCACCTCAGCCTCCCAAAGGCCCGGGATTACAGGCTGAGCCACCGAGCCCGGCTACAACCTTGAATCTTAATCAAGGACTACATCTGAGGTATATGAAGAAGCAGCAGTTCTTAGAAACACATTAACTGGACCACAGGATGAATTCATCTTGTATCTTAGCAGAAGTCCATGGGCAGGTGTGTTGTGTGAAAGGCCTTTGCACCCTGAGCCTGAGATGATCACCACCATATAGAGGGGCAAGGAACCAGGATCAGCTGAGCTTGAGCCCAGGTGTTCAGGTTACAGTGAGCTATGATCGCATCACTGTGCTCCAGCCTGGGTGACCAAACGAACCCTGTCTCAAAAAGCAAGAAGAGGGTAACCTCCTCGGGTCCCTCCCACTGTGTGAGAGTTTTTCTGTCCTCTTAATAAATCCTGCTTTCTAAAAAAAAAAAAAAAAAACAAGAAGGAGGAAAGGGAGGAAGGAGGGAGGGAGGGCAGAGAACAAAAGGAAGGAAGGAAGGAAGAAGGGAAGGAAATGGATGCAATGTTTAAGAAAATAGGGAATGTAAGGAGAAAAGACAAGACCTGTGACTCAGCCTGAGGGGTAGTGACATTTAGAGGGCCCTTGAAGGAGGAGGGGCCATTGAGAGCCTAGTCAGAGAAGATCGCCTGATGTCACAGGAGACAAGCAAGGGCAGCATTATAAGAAGGTCAGGCTTAACGGAACCTGCAGCTGAAGGCTTCTGGAAGACGGATGAAGTGAAAAGGACCCTGGGCCCAGCTATCTGGTACTTGAGAGGCAGCTGGTGAACTTGAAGAAATCATCTTCAAGAAAGTGGTATGGGTCGCAACTATAGAAGTGAGGGTTGACATGATGGACAGTGAGGAGATGGAAGCAGAAATGAAGACTCCATTTGATGGGTTTGTCAGTGAAAAGGAGATTCCCTAGAAGTTTCCAGCAGAAGACCACAAGCAGAGGAGATAGCTTTGAGAGAGGATGGGGGAGCGAACATGAATGAGTCTTTACATTCTTGTAAACTAAGATGAGGATAGATAAAATAGCCCTCTTAGGACCTCTATCTTCTCAGAAACTTTCCATTAAAAACTACTCCACATAGAATAATATAAGATTATTATCTAGGTAGAAAAGTTAAATCTAGCTTACCTGTAAGAGGTAAGAGTTTGTAGGTGGGAGATAGTTGGAACAGAAGCATGAGGAATAGCCATAGGGAGTCAGCAAGAGGCTGATAAGAAGATTCTTTGGCATTACTGTGGGCCAGGGAGAAGTTAGAAAGTTTGCCTGGACCTTGTATCCAGTCAGCAAGGCTTCATGACTTCTCCAGCAATGTTCCCAAGCAAAGTGGAACTGACATGACCAAACCTAAGAATGGGATGCACAAAGTATTCATGATAGCAGGCACGTGGCAAAGGTCCCGTTACTGCTACAAGGGTAAAGTGAGAGGGACCGAATGATGGGGAAGTGGCACTAGAAGTCATGAATGAGCAAGGAGAGGTGGGGACAAGCCTCAAGCTAATTCTTGGCAGGGGCCATGCGGGGTGATGGTGAGCCAGGAGACTGATGTGGCACAGAGATGGGGGTGGAAGAACCAAAGCTGGTGGAGAACTGCAGCACAGAGGTCATCAGAAGATTGGTGGGTCAGATGCCGAAGTCATTCAAAAAAGGGAATGGGGTCCAAAAATGGGTGACCGGTGGGGTAAGGACTCGGATAGGAAACATGACAAGGGGATACTCCCCATGACAAGGGGAGTATGGTTGTGAGCCAGTGGTTTGGAGAGGCCCTGGGTGCTGGAATCACTTCCCCTTTCTCCAGGGTCTACTTTGCTCATAGAAGCTTATTTGGAAAATACAAAATAATAGGAAATAACGATGCAAAACACCTGAAAGTTCAATATCAAGAGATGACCACTAATGATTATTTGGAACATTTACTTTTAGTCTTTTTTTCCCATACTTACAAATCTACAAATACACATTTAAAAATATATATTGGGGTCATATTGTATAGCTTTGTGTCTTTTTCACCTAGCATCATGTTGTAAGAATTTTCATGAATCTCCAAATATCTGATTTTGAACTATTATATACCTTTGTATGGGTGTACCATAACTCATTTAATAATTTTTCTGTTAGACATTTAGATTATTTTTAAAACCTTAACTATCATAAATAATGCTGTGTTGGAGAGCTTTGCACTCTAATTCTTGTCTACATTTTCTATTATTTCTCTAAGAAAGATTTCTAGGTGTAAAATTTCTAGGTGAAAGACACACTTTTTCAAGACAGAGAAATAATCCATAATAGCTTTTAATCATATGGTTACAGTTTTTTAAAGTAGTGTATTTGAATTACAACTTATAATTTATATTTATACCACTTCTATCTTCTCAGGAACTTTCCATTAAAAGCTATTTCACATAGAATAATATAATGTTTTTTAAATATGGCTTTTTCAAAACACTATTTTACAAAATATAAAGTATCTGCACTTACCTCCAAATATTGTCTTGGGACAACCAGGTTGATCCAATCCGCCATTTGGATAAAAGTCTATGTTTCCTAATGGTTCCCTATAGCCCAGTGCTAAAAGAGAACATATTATGCTTTATCTTTTTTGTTTGTTTTTCAATAGAACCCTTCACAAATTTGCATGTCATCTTCATATAGGGACCAAGCTCACCATCTTTGTGTTGTGAGAGCACACTATGTTTTTATATTGCTTTGAATTTTTTTTTTTTTTTTTTTTGAGTTGGAGTCTCACTCTGTCACCCAGACTAGAGTGCAGTGGCCGCTCCCGGCCACCGCAGCCTCAACCTGCCGGGCTCTGGCGATCCTTCCGCCTCAGCCTTCCAAGTAGCTGGAACTACAGGCGCACGCTACCACGCCCGGCTGATTTTTGATTTATTGTAGAGATGAGGTATCGCTAAGTTGCCCAGGTGGGTCACGAACCTGCGGGCTCAGGCAATCCACTCACCTCAGCCTCCCAAAGGCGCGGGATTACAGGCTGAGCCACCAAGCCGGGCTTGCTTTGAATTTTTCACATCTCATTATAGGCAGGGATTATATTACTATTGTTAGTAGCATTATTGCTAATATAATGTTTTGCCCAAAGTTTCCCAGCTAGTCAGAAAGCAGTGATTTTTCAACTAGATGACTGTGAAGGGGTGGTGGAATTTACTTCCAATATATGTAAAGACACAGGAAGTTTAGTCATTCATTCACTGCAGGGCTAATTACATGATACCTTTCTTCTTCTTCTTCTTTTTTTTTTTTTTTTTTTTTTGAGTTGGAATCTCACTCTGTCACCCAATCCAGAGTGGAGAGCAGTGGCACATTCACAGCCACTGCAGCCTCGACCTGATGGGTTCAGGCGATCCTTCTGCCTCAGCCTTCCACGTAGCTGGAACTATAGGTGTGCGCCATCATACCCAGTTAATTTTTTGATTTATTATAGAGATAAGGTCTCGCCAAGTTGCCCAGGCTGGTCTCAAACCCGTGGGCTCAGGCAATCCTCTCACCTCGGCCTCCCAAAGTGCTAGGATTATAAGCGTGAGCCACCGTGCCTAGCCGATACATTTCTTCTTTACATTTGACTAGAATCTTTTAATAGCCAGGTGTTTCCTGAGCCCCTACTTGCATTGGGTAATCTTTAAATATTTGGGATCCAGGATGGTAAACAGATTGGAAACCTTTCTAGAAAATGAGGATCTAAAAATGTACACCGGTTTATAAGTGCTTATTGTCTTTATGTAACCCCAAAATAATTGGTAAAATGTTTGGTTGAACAATTTTTAACATATGTATACATATACACATATATGCATATGTATATATGTAGAGTATCATAGTAATAATAGCAGTAGTTACATATTGAGAAGCTACATGTGTCCATGGGCATATTAATAGGTGTTTTACACACTTTTCTTCTAATTTTCACAATGTCTGCAAAGTAGCCATTGGTAAATTCAGATGAAATAACTTTAGATAAAGATACAGAGGACTTAAGGAATTAACAGGACATCATTAAAAATAGCAAAACCTGGGATTTGAATTCACTTCTGCCTGACTGCAAAACAATACTCTTTCCTTCAGAATTCACTTTTCAGAAATAAAAAATAAATGGTTCTATTCCATCAAATTAAATATTAAAATATAATTGAAGTACTGCACTTAACCAAGGAAATACTTTGCAAACTCCATAGTAAGAATGCAGCTACCTAGCTGGGCTCGGTGGCCCAGCCTGTAATCCCACGCTTTGGGAGGCTGAGGTGAGTGGATTGCATGAGCTCGCAGGTTCGAGACCCGCCTGGGCAGCAAGACCTCATCTCTACAATAAATCAAAAAATTAGCCGGGCGTGGCAGCGCGTGCCTGTAATTCTGGCTACTCAGAAGGCTGAGGCAGAAGGATCGCTGGAGCCCAGCAGGTCGAAGCTGTAGTGGCCGGGAGCAGCGACTGCACTCCAGTCTGGGTGACAGAGTGAGACTCCAACTCAAAAAAAAAAGAGAATGCAGCTACTTCACAAAGAGACATTTCTTCCAGGGCAATTTCTGAATACCACACCAGCATGCCCATGAACAAGGTGGCCAAGGGCTTTTTAGGTGGTTGTGTCACACAGAGGACATATTATTAAATGACCGCTCTGCTCTCTTCCCTCATCCTCCCCAAGTTCCTACTCCAGCTCTTCTCCCAGACAGCTAGATATAGACACCCTCCCTTGAACATCATCCAAAGCCACATGACATGTATCCAGTCTGATATGATCCCAGTACCATGAAAGACCGAAATGGCCAGGAAGACCCACAGAGAACCAGAGAGCAATGGTGGGTCAGAGTCACTATGTGTGGAAAGACACTACACCTGAACATATCTTTCAGCTTAAAGAACTAACGAGAAAAAACCAGCAGAACCAGGAAATCACACATCCAAACCCAATTGCACATAGAAAAACATCTGTCTACATGTTGTGCAATTGAGCCTGTCTTTGACTGGGCACGATGGGAAAGCACAAGGTCCTGGGGGCATGCATTAAACCAGCTTCCCTTCAATGTAGATCTGGAACCCTGCCCGGCAGGAAGAGTGGGAATCTAGAGGAACCGTATCTGCCCCTACATGACGATCTCCCCCCGGCCCGGGGGAGAGACTCTTTGGGAGAGTCTGGCCACAAAGACAGGAATATTACCATCAATGTCGGAATGGATGACGTCAACGAACTGCGCATCACCAGAATCTAATCTGTCCTGGGGAGGTTTCCTGCTGAATAAAGGGCCTGCAGGGTCCAGACCTGCAAGGAAAACAGAGTCACTTGGCAGTGCCATGCCATGAGTCACCTGCAGTCATCTGCACCCGGGCCTTTGATCTCTCTGGATGAAGATGGCCCACAGGCTGCAGGGCACCCTCGCGTGGGCGAACATTCACATTCCCATCCCTCTCTGTCAGGACTCCTTTCCACAGCCTGTAGCTTGTTCCCCCTGAGAACGGCCTCCAGACTCCATCAGGAGGCACATCTCATGGTAAGCTCAGCAGCAGGGAATGAATTCACATATGGGTGGGGGGGACCAGTTCCTCAGGGAAAAAACCACCAAAGGTGCATAAAAGAGAAAAAAGCAGATGCTCTACCCATCTTTATTCCATTTTAGAGGATCCAGAAACCTCACTAGGCCCTTCCTTCCTCTTATAAGTAAAATTCTTTTGTAGCTTCCACTTTTAGTCATCTATAGTAGTTCATTTGATCCACATTGCAAGCCTGTGAGGAAGGCAGGGCAGCTATTATTATTATTGCCTTTTTACAGGTAAATAAACTGAGGTTCAGGGGGATCAAGCTTATTTTTCTTATTTTTTATTTTTTTTGAGTCAGAGTCTCACTTTGTTGCCCAGGCTGAAGTGCAGTGGCATGATCATGGCTCACCACAGCCTCAATTTCTGGGCTCAGACAATCCTCCCACCTCAGACTCCCAAGTAGCTGGTACTACAGGCGCATACCACCATGCCTGGCTAATTTTTTTTTTTTTTTTTTTGTAGAGATAAGGTCTCACTATGTTGGCTAGCTGATCTTGAACTCCTGTGCTCAAGCAATCCTCCTGTCTCAGTCTACCAAACTGCTGGGATTATGAATGTGAGTCATCGTGCTGGTCAGAGGGAGATCAAGTGCCTTGGCTAGAGCATAGCCTCTTGCTGCAATCACCTCTATCTGTTGAGCTCTTGGTTTCACTGCATTGAATTTAGTAAGCTCAGCGGGAAAGGGTGAAACTGGTCAGGCCAGGTGTCAAGTCAGGTATCTTAGAGGGTAGTAAACTGGGTGCTAATCCCAGCAAAATTAACCCACTCTATAAATGCTTGAACTGATTTCTTGCCCTTGGTCTATGCTATTTGGGCGTTCCTCACTATCACTATGAAACAGCTGGGAAAACAGGAGAGCAGCTCCTCTGATGTTGTAACCAAAAAATGAAGATAAAAACTCACTCCTGTAATCCCAGCATTTTGTGTGGTGGAGGCAAGAGGATTGCCTGAACCCAGGGTGAGACCTCATCTTTACCAAAAATAAAAAAAGTTAGCCAGGCATGTAGGTACACACCTATAGTCCCAAATACTTGGAAGGCTGAGGTGGAAGGATTGCCTGAGCCCAGCAGGCTGAGGCTGCAATAAGCATGATCGTGCCACTGCACTCCAGCCTAGGCGACAAAGTAAGACTAAGACTCAAAACCACAACCACAACAACAAAGCCAGAGGATTCAAAAGGCCCAGTTTACTAGAGCCCTACCTAGAGTGAAGAAAGTTTCCAGGATGAATGTCATTGTAAGTGACATCTCCCATCTCCTGGTGTTGCACATAAAACTCGAGAGATAGCATCTTTGCCTCAGCTTCTCAGGTTTCAGCTTTTTTTTTTTTTTTTTTTTTTTGACTTGGAGTCTCACTCTGTTGCCCAGGCTAGAGTACAGTGGCACGCTCACGGCCACCCCAGTGTCGACCTGCTGGGCTCAGGTGATCCTTCTGCCTCAGCCTTCCAAATAGCCGGAACTACAGGCGCACGCTACCACGCCCAGTTAATTTTTTGATTTATTGCAGAGATGAGGTCTTGCCAAATAGCCCAGGCTGGTCTCAAACCCGCGGGCTCAGGCAATCCACTCACCTCAGCCTCCCAAAGGTGCGGGATTACAGGCTGAGCCACCGAGCACAGCTGGTTTTAGCTTTAATTTCTTCATTTCTCCTTCTCAAATGCTCTTTTGCTTCCTTGTAGCATTTCTTTGTTTTTTTTAAGTTGGAGTCTCACTCTGTCGCCCAGGCTCGAGTGCAGTGGCACAATCATGGCCACCCCAGTATGAACCTGCTGGACTCCAGCGATCCTTTCGCCTCAGCATTCCATGTACCCGGAACTACCCACACTACAACACCCGGCTAATATTTTATTTATTGTAGAGACGAGGTCTCACCAAGTTGCCCAGGCTGGACTCGAACCCCTGGGCTCAGGCAATCCACTCACGTTGGCCTCCCAAAGCGTGGGATTACAGGCTGAGCCACCGAGCCTGGTTAAAACTCATAATCTTACAAAGAATTTGCTGGGGAGGCCTTTCCCTCATGTAAGACAGTACCACTTCCTGTCCAAGAAAATCAACCATGAGGCAGGGCTCAGTGGCTCAGCCTGTAATCCTACGCTTTGGGAGGCCGTGGTGAGTGGATTGCCTGAGCCCACGGGTTCAAGACCCGCCTGGGCAACTTGGTGAGACCTCATCTCTACAATAAATCAAAAAAATTAGCCCTGTGTGGTAGCGCACGACTGTAATTCCGGCTACTTGGAAAGCTGAGGCGGAAGGATCGCCGGAGCACAGTAGGTTGAGGCTGTGGTGGCCGGGAGCGACCACTGCACTCCAGTCTGGGCGACCGAGTGAGACTCCAACTCAAAAAAAAAAGAAAATCGACCATGAGAACCCCAGTTTATAGCAACCTCCAGATCCAGAGCAAATAAAAATCTGAAGAAGACAATTTTGAGAGTGATATGGGTGCTATTAATAATTATACCAAGCCAGGCTCGGTGGCTCAGCCTGTAATCCCGCGCCTTTGGGAGGCTGAGGTGAGTGGATTGCCTGAGCCCGTGGGTTCGAGACCCACCTGGGCAGCGAGACCTCATCTCTACAATAAATCAAAAAATCAGCCGGGCGTCGTAGCGCACGCCTGTAGTTCCAGCCACTTGGAAGGCTGAGGCGGAAGGATCGCTGGAGCCCAGCAGGCCGAGGCTGTAGCGGCCAGGAGCGTGCCACTGTACTCCAGCCTGGGTGACAGAGTGAGACTCTAACTAAAAAAAAAAAA